GTTGAGCTATAGGCGCCGAGTCAGCATCCAGGGTTTTCACATTCCCCTCCTTCTCTCTTCTTCCCAGAGACAGTGGGACTCATCCCCATGTGTCTGGAGGACTGAATGACAGTAAGTGAGCGGTTTTGAGGGGGGTCTAATGAACCTTTCACAGGGGTCACCTAAGACCAGCCTGCATATCAGATATTTATGTTATGATTCATAACAGTAGCAAATTACAATTACGAAGTAGCAACGAAAATAATTTTATGGTTGGGGGTCACCACAACATGAGGGACTGTATTAAAGGGTCACGGCATTAGGAAGGTTGAATAAGTGCAGTAAGTGAAGGAAAGGTGGCCTCCCACTGTTTACAAGAAACCTAAATAACCCTTGGGGTTCAGAAATGTTAAATTTAAAGATGACACATGATACATTACACACGTGGTCAACAGTACGAAGTAGGGGCCACTCTCCTGCTGTCAGAAGGCTTAGTCTCAAGGCAAAGGCATTAGCACAGGTGAAGAAAGAGAACTTCACAAGGTCAAAAGTTCAAGTATCAGAATAAGATGGAAATTCTACATATGTTAGCATCTACCGATGGCGTTTTAAAGCTGATATTCCCAGAATTCCAGCTCCTGCCATGAGAGGCTCCAGGCACTAGAAGACCTGATGTTGCCCTGACTGGAAGGTGACTCTCTGAGGACAGATCTGGGTCTGTGTGCTGATTTTGACGCAGAGAGAGATGTCCACCTCCTGGCTGCTGAGTGGGGAGAAGAGGCTGCTGGTCACCGGTCCTGGGCCTCCCCCATCACCCTAACCCTGAGTCCTACCCCTGACCTCCACAAACTCCACAGCCCAAGACTCAAGGGTCTGGCCAAATGGGACCCATTTTCACTTTCCAGACAATGTCACACAAGGGGGTGGGCATTGACAGGGACAGGTGAAATGTGGTCAGACCCCACATGGGGTGGACAACTGGGTAAATTTCTCACCCTCTCTGGCTGCACTGTCCCCACAAGTGGACATGGGGGGGATGACAGTTGCTCTCCAAGAGTTGCTGTGGCCCTGTCAATGTCTGGGCATGAAGTTCCTCCTCTAAGAGGGTCATAGTTCTGACCTCCTCCCACCCACAGCTTCCTGTGTGGCCTCCTCTGAGTCCTGCAGTTCTCAGTTCCTGAGAGAAGAACTCCAGACTGTCCTCAGTGGGCCCTGGCACCTCCATGTGGATATGCTGCTGCCGCTGCTACTGGCCCTGCTCTGGGGAAGGGTCGGAGGGGGGGAGAGACAGAAAGAGCCCAAGCAAGGTTTCGTGTGGCAAGTGCAGAAGGAAGTGACGGTGCAGGAGGGCCTGTGTGTCCATGTGCCCTGCTCCTTCCACCCCGGGGTCATCTGGAAGAACTCCACCCCAGCTTATGGCTCCTGGTTCCGGGAAGGGGCAAGTACAACCTCAGACGCCCCAGTGGCCACAAACAACCCAGATCGACAAGTGCAGGAGGACACCCAGGGCCGGTTCCATCTCCTTGGGGACCCCTGGAGGAACAACTGCTCCCTGAGTATTAGAGACGCCAAGAGGACTGACAATGGGTCATACAAATTTTGGGTGGAGAGAGGAAGGAAGGCGAAGAGGGGCATTGTATCCCCCCAGCTCTCCGTGCGTGTGATGGGTAAGGCTCAGGCTTCAGGAGCGGCTGCAGGGGAGGTGGTGGGGGCTGAGGGCAGGGCTGGGCTGGGATCCCTGTTCTGGGAAGGGTTGGGGTGAAGACTGTCGGGTCACAGGACCAGACCTTGGACCTTGTACCTCGGACCAGAGCCCGAGCTCCTCTCAGGACCACACCTTGGACCCTCCCTCCTGATGCTGCGTGTCCCCCTCTCCTCTCCAGCCCTGACCCATACACCTGACATCTCCATCCCTGACACTATGAAGTGTGGCCACCCCAGGAATCTGACCTGCTCTGTGCTCTGGGCCTGTGAACAGGGGACACCCCCCATTTTCTCCTGGAAGTTAGCTGCCCCCACCTCCCTGGGACCCAGGACTGCCCACTCCTCAGTGCTCACTGTCACCCCAAGGCCCCAAGACCATGGCACCAGCCTTACCTGCCAGGTGACCCTGCCCGGGACAGGTGTGACCAGGACGAGGACTGTCTACCTCAACGTGACCTGTGAGAACTGGGGTGAAATGCCTGGGCCCTTATGGGTGTGTGTTGGGGTGAGGGGACAGGGCAAGGCTGGGCCCAGGTTCAAAGGTGGGACCTGACAGCCAAATAGGAAAGTCCCCCTGACTCCTGGCGGGGGGGTAAGGCCCATCCCCCAGCCCTCACCGGGGGTGTCGAGGCTGTCACGTCTTTCTGTCCCAGGTGCTCCACAGAACCTGGCTATCAGCATCTTCCAAGGAAACAGCACAGGTAGGTAGGTGCCTGCCCTGTCTCCTCCAGAGCTGTGAGCAGCACAGAGCAGCCTCAGAGTCTGGCCTTCCAGGACAGGGAGGAACAAGGTGTTTTGCAGGATCTTGAGGGCTTTGGAGAGAGGGGTCCAGAGAGATAGGAATGGGGCTGTGGACAGGCGCTGGGTGTCTCTATTCCAGGGAGATAGGGGTGGCAGCAGGGTTTCTGCTGGGACAGACTGAGCTGGGTATCAGCGCTCCAGTTGCCTTGGCAGGAGGGGTTCATGTGGGGAGCATGTTGGAGGTCAGACTCATTCTGGGACAGCCTGAGCAGGCCCCCCTGACTTCCTCATCCTGAACTTCATCTTTTATTCACACTGTGGCCAAACCCAAGGCAGCTGGCATGTCGCTGTCCTTACTGTATATCTGAGGTTGCACCTTTTACTGCTGCCCCAGGAGCGTCCTTGGTACGTGAAGAGCATTTGTTAGCCTTATCACTGTCTCCCGTTGTCTGCTCTCCCTCTGCCGGGCAGCCTGGGGAGGGCTAGGGAAGTGGCCTGCGCGCCTCAAGCCCTGAGGCCCAGACTCTCCTATGCCCCTCCTTGGAGCTAGTGTGGACACCCTGGAATAGAGGGACATCAGGCCCTGTCCACATCCCCATCCCTCTCTCTCTGGACCCCTCTCTCCAAAGCCCTGAAGATCCTGCAAAACAACTTGTCTCTCCCTGTCCTGGAGGGCCAGCCGCTGCAGCTGTTCTGTGCCGCTGACAGCAACCCCCCTGCACACCTTAGCTGGTCCCAGGGATCCCCACCCTTGAACAATACCCTCATCTCCAATACTGGTGTCCTGGAACTGCCCCAAGGAGTGTCTGCTGGAGGAGGAGAATTCACCTGCCATGCTCAGCACCCCCTGGGGTCACAACGCATCTCTCTGAGCCTCTCTGTGCACTGTGAGTTTGGGGGAACCTAGAGCCAGAATCCCAAGGTTTGAAGGAGGGGAGGAGCTGCTGCTGAGCCCTGTCCTCCCTCCACAGACCCCCCACAGCTGCTGGGCCCCTCCTGCTCCTGGGAGGCCCAGGGGCTGCACTGCAGCTGCTGCTCCCGTGCCCAGCCAGCCGCCTCTCTGCACTGGTGGCTCGGGGAGGGGCTTCAGGAGGGGACCGACAGCCAGGGCTCCTTCACAGCCACCAACAGCTCAGCGGGGCCCTGGGCCAACAGCTCCCTGAGTCTCCATGGGGCACTCAACTCCAGCCTCAGGCTCAGCTGCAAGGCCCAGAATGTCTATGGGGCCCAGAGTGGCACCATCTTGCTGCTGCCAGGTAAGAGGACACAGAGGGGCTGAAACTCAGGGAGAGAAGCCTGGGCAGATGGGGCTCAGGGTTGGGCAGTGCCAGCTCTCTTGGGAAGAGGGGGTAGAGGCCCTGCTCTGGGGCTGCTGGGGGAGGAAGGACCCCAGAGCCCAGATTCCGTGGGAGAAGAGGGCACAAGGTCCTGGGGTTTGGAGAGGCAGCACCCTGAACCTCTGATCTGCAGGGAAGCCAGAGCCCAGGACAGGATTCGCTCTGGGGGCCGTGGTGGGGGCCGGTGTCACTGCCCTGCTCTCTCTCTGCTCCTGCTTCGCCTTCCTCAGGTGAGTGTGGGCCACAGAGGGTGGGAGTACATGTTGTGGGAGGTCTGCAGGTCTTTGAGCCTCAGATAGTCCCAGAGGCAAGTACCTGGACAGGGCAGATCCCCTCCAGACTCTGAGCTAGCAGGTACCAAAAGGTCCTGGTCCCTCCCTCAGGGTGAAGACCTGCAGGAAGGATGCACCCTCCACCCTGGGTCCCACTTTGCTGGTGAGTGAGGTGCTCTCTGTCCACCAGGGTCCCGTCTGGTCCTCTCCCTAGGATGGCCAAGGCCATAGTCCTCTTGGTGACTTAGTGACTCATCATTTGCCAAATAGGCTGTCTTGCCTGACTCCCTATCAAAGCGGCCCCTAGTTCTGTGACCCAGGAACCCCTGCCCCACTGTTTTCTATGTCTCCCACAGAGCCAAGGGCCACCTAGCTGTCAGCTGTGCTCAGCTCCAGTGCACCCTTCCTAACCTGTCCCTCGTTTCTCTCTGGATCCCTGACTCCTTTGCCCTCCTTCCTGGCTCTCCTCAACACAGGATGCTGGAGAGATCTCCCAAAAATAATTAATGTCTACTACAAAGCTAAGGGGTCCCCAGTCAATAGCACTGTGACGTATTATAATCAGTAGGAAAAGTACAGCACCCTGTGGAAGCCACTGAATCCTGAGAACAATTTGTAGATTATAAAGTGACAGGAAGAGGACCATGGGGCAGGGGCTAGGGGAGACTACCCCTGTAGTTTCTGGTTATCCTCTCCCAGTGGGGTCACATGGACAGCAGTGACTTCTTGCCAGTAGAAATGTGTGATAACACTCATAAAGTGTTGCTAACTGGGGAACTCACCAGTCAAGACCACTCTCACTTATGATACCAACTACATGTTTGGGGGTCCCATGAGCACTCTTAGGCTTGATCATTCACTTGAGGAACTCAGAGAAAACTCACTAAAGACTTTTATCCTCATGGTGATAGTTTAATCTATTTTTAATCAACAGGGTCTTTCTTTGTTGCCCAGGCTGGCGTGAAGTGCTATGATCATAGCTCACTGCAACTATGAACTAGCAGGCTCAAGGGGTTCTCCTGCCTCAGCCTCTCTAGCAGTTGGGTCTACAGGCATGGGCCACCATGCTCAGATAATTTTTCTTCTTATTTTTTTTTTAGAGATGCAGTCTCACTATGTTTACCAGGGTGGTCTTGAACTCCTGGGCTCAAGCAATCCTCTCACCTCTGCTTCCCCAACTGCTGGGATTACAGGCATGAGCCACTGCACTTGACCTTGATAGTTATATAGTGAATGGACACAGAAGAACATAAGTAACAGGAAGAGGCTTATGGGGCAGAGTCTAGGAGAGATTAGACCCAGAGTTTCCAGTTGTACTTTCCTAGTGGAGTCACTCAGACAGCACTTATTTCTCTCAGCAACTTCATGTGACAACACACATTCTAACCAGGGAAGCTCATCTGACATCAGTGTCCAGGGTTTGGTTAGATCAGCCACATAAGCATGGAGCCCCTGTGTGACTGACCTCAGTGCCTCAGTCTGCAGCACGCCAGAATCAAAGTGAGGTCACATGGCCCAAGGACCCCATTGGAATTCATACTGTTGGTTCAGATTCTTTGGCATGGCCTGTGGTTCCCAGGAGAACAGATACTTCTATCAGGCCTAAGGACACTGCAAGGGCTTCTGTCAGGGAGTCACTCACAGGAGCTAGGCGCAAAGGGTTAAACCTTTCTTTGGACAAGGCAAATCCTTTACAATACTGTATCCTTTGTGTCTTGGGCTCATAGTTCAGTTTAACAAGTGTGTTTGAATAACTGATCCTCTGAGGTCCCTGAGGTCTAAGCAATCCCCTGTCCATCTCACACAACCCAACTCCTATGTATCCTATCACAATTTGCAGTTAGATGGTAACTTAACTGACTATTTCTTTGCTGTTTGCTTCTCCCTCCATATTGCAAGCTTCATGAGGTCAAGGATGGTGTCTGCTTAGTTTTCCCTGAATATTTGAGGCTGGCACAAGGGAGCTACTCTGTAAGGCAGCAGGCACTGGAGTTAGACCTGGCCATGAATCTTGGCCTGACCACTAATAGATGTGTGGTCTGAGGGTATTTACTCAGCCTCTGATTCTCCATCTTATAAATGGGATAATGGTATCTCCCCAGTGGGTTGTTGTGAGGATTGTATGAGATCAGCAGTCAATTACCAAGGGCCAGGTATCACTCTCAAAATGTTTGCTGAATGTACGAATGAGTGAATGAATGAATGAGGGCCCAGCCAGTGCTTATGGAATGAATAGATCAAAGGCTAGATGCTTGGTTTCCAGGTTCTCCTGTGGGTCTTGCTTGCTCTCTCCTGGGTAGCATCATCCTAATTTGATCCCTTTCTCCCCTCCATTCAGAGTGACCGGCATGAGTGCCCCCCAGCCCCTGCTGCCACCACCCCCACCTCTGGGGAGGAGGAAGAGCTCCATTATGCCTCCCTCAGCTTCCATGAGCTCAGGCACCAGGAGTGTAAGGACCAGGAGGCCATCAGCTCCACCGAGTACTCAGAGGTCAAAATTCACAAGTGATGACCTTGCGGCAGGGCCCAGGGCTTCTCTGGGGAGGGTGATATCAGGGATGGTTCCTACATCACAGTCCCCATGTGAACAGGATACCCAGTAACATGAGAGTCTCACTGGTGTGTAGAGGGCAGAACTGGGCTAATCTTTCAGCCAAGCCCCTACATGAGAGCCTGTATTTGAGTTTGCTTCATGCTTCCATGTCTTCCCATGTACACTGGACAGGATAAGCCTAATCACAGGCCCTTGCAGGGCAGAAAAGGGATGATTAGCATAAAGCACTCAGCACAGGCTTCTTTCTATGAATTTGTTTTTTTTTTATAGAGACAAAGTCTCACTTTGTTGCCCTTGGTAGAGTGCTGTGGCGTCAAAGCTCACAGCAACCTCCAGCTCTTGGGCTTAGGCCATTCTCTTGCCTCTGCCTCCTGAGTAGCTGGGACTACAGGCGCCTGCCACACCACCGGGCTATTTTTTTGTTGCAGTTTGGCCAGGGCCAGGTTTGAACCCTCCGTGTATGGGGCCAGTGCCCTACTCACTGAGCCACAGGCGCCCCCCCACGGATTGTTTTTAAATATCCCACTAGGAGACAATTTTGAGAGTCTTTTCTTCATAATTAAAGTATGATTTCAGTGCTTCAAATAAAGAAACTGAAGATTCTCTCAATTTCATTTGTTAAAGAGAGTCAGTGGGCTCCAGCGCCTGTAGCTCAGCGGCCAGGGCACCAGCCACGTACACCGGAGCTGGAAGGTTCGAATCCAGCTCTGGCCTGTCAAGCAAAAATGACAACAACCAAAAAATAGCTGGGTGGGACTCAGGAGGGTCCAGGAGGCCACCAGCTCCTGGTGGTGGGTGCCTGTAGTTCCAGCTACTTGGGAGGCTGAGGCAAGAGAATCGCTGAAGCCCAAGAGTTGGAGGTTGCTGTGAGCTGTGACACCACAGCATTCTATCAAGGGTGACAAAGTGAGACTCTGTCTCAAAAAAAAAAAAGAGTCAGTGGGCTTTTGAATGTAAGAGAATTGAAGAATACCGAAGGGCAGCAAATTATAGAAACCTTTTTTTTTTTTTGAGAAGATGCGCAGATCTGCCCACGCCTTCCCTAGAATCACCCCATGCCACGCTTCCTTTCTGAATACATATTGTGTATGCCTTTCCCAAGCTCCCACCCAGATCTGTATTTATATTTCACTCATGCGTTGCTTAACTAAAGGATACCTTCCAAGAAATGCGTCTTTAGGTGATTGTGTTGTTGTGCACACATCCTAGAGGGTATTTAACACAAACTAGATGGCAGAGCCCACCACACACCTTTATGGCACTGCTACTGCTTCCTGGCACAAAAGTCAACAGCACATTATTGTACTGAATACTGTAGGTAATTGCAATACAATGGTAAGTATTTGTATATCTTAATACAAAAAAGATACAGTAAAAAAAGTATAAAAGATAAATAATGGTACATCTGGGTAGGGCACTTCCTTATGAAACTTGCAGGACTGGAAGTATCTCTGGATGAGTCAGTGAGTGAGTGGTGAGTGAATGTGAAGGCCTAGGACATTACTGTACACTACTGGGATGTTATAAACAGTGGACACTTTGGTTACACTAGACTTATTATTCATTTTTTTGAGACATTGTTTTGCTCTGTCACCCCAGGCTAGAGTGCTGTGGTGTTAGAACAGCTCACAGCAACCTCAAACTCCTGGGCTCAAGTGATCCTCCTACGTCAGCCTCCTGAGTGGCTGGGACTACTCAGCCACTACGCTTGGATAATTTTTTCTGTTCTTAGTAGAGATGAGGGTCTTGTTCTTGCTCAGGCTGGTCTTGAACTTCTGATCCTCTAGCCTTGGCCTCCCAGAGTGATGGGATTACAGGTGTAAGCCACCACACCCAGCCCACTGAACTTATTTAAAAACTTTTCCTTTCTTCAATAATAAATTAACCTTAGCTTACTGTACATAACTCACTAACTTTATAAATTTTTAATTTATTTTTATTTTAGAGACAGAGTCTCACTTTGTCGCCCCTGGTAGAATGCCCTGGCGTCATAGCTCAAAGTAACCTCTAACTCTTGGGCTCAAGCAATTCTCTTGCTTCACCCTCCCCAGTAGCTGGGACTACAGGCACCTGCCACAAAGCCCAGCTATTTTTAGAGATGGGGTCTGGCTCTAGCTCAGGCTGGTCTTAAACTTGTGAGCTCAGGAGATCTGCCCATCTCTGCTGCTCAAGTGCTGGGATTACAGGTGTGAGCCACTGTGCCCAGACTAAACTTTTTATTTTTAAACTTTTTGATTCTTTTGTAGTAATACTTAAAACCCAGATTGTGCAGTTGTGCAAAAATATCTTCTTTATATTCTTATTCTGTAAGCTTTTTTCTAAAAAACACTAATTAAAAAAACACTTTATTTATTTTTACTTCTTAACTGTTTTGTTAAGAACTAAGAGACAGGCTTGGCACCCATAGCACAGTGGTTACAGCGCCAGCCATATGTACTGAGGCTGGTGGGTTTAAACCCAGCCTGGGCCAGCTAAACAACAATGACAACTGCAACAAAAAAAATAGCTGGGTGTTGTGGTGCCCCTGTAGTCCCAGCTACTTGGGAGACTAAGGCAAGAGAATCACTTAAGCCCAAGAGTTTGAGGTTGCTGTGAGCTGTGATGCCATAGTACTCTACGAGAGCGACACACTAAGATTTTGCCTCAAAAAAAAAAAAAAAAGAACTAAAAGACATGTTGTCGGTGGGTGGGAGATGTTGCAAAAATACTTCTGGTTGCTTGATGACCTTGAGTGGAGTGATATGGCAACTTATTGCAGATTGAGTGTCCTCCGCTGTGCAAAGGAGGGTGAGCTCTGTTCCTCTGAACCTTGGTGGTCAGACCTGCTTATCTCTCAGCATTTCTCCAGGACTGACCGGCCCTCTGATGGTGTGGAGTGCACGAAATACACCTGTCACCCAGCCACCATTCTGGTTTCAAGGCTGCATCTCTCCACTGGACTAGTGAGAGGGTTGTCAGTGTTTCGCTCCTGGGTCTGCTGCCAGCTGCTTATTTGAATCCTTGTTCTGCAATGGGTTAGCTCCTTGCTGCAGCCCTTACTCTCCACAGTCACTGGGGCCTTGGACAAGTTGTTACTGTGTTCATGGGGACACACAGCAGAAAGCTGCCAAGGCAGGCCTTCTGACACTTTTGGCTTTAACCTTTCCTGGGCTTTGTTATTTCAACTATCATGATGTGAGTATCTGCAGAGCTGCGGCCATGCTGTGGAAACTCTGACCTTTTTGACTTCATACCTTAAGAACTGATTGTATGCCTCTTTGCCGCTGCTTTGTCATGCCATCCAACTTATAATAAGGAGGAAATAAGTCCATTAGTGGAGAAAGTTTATGTGTTTAGTCTCAAATCTTAATTTTTGAGGAAAAGGTTTGAGAGGTATTATGGCCAAGAAATTTTAAGACTGAGTTTCATATTATGGTGAGTTAATGGAGTTGTCTCTCAACTTCTAATAAATTTAACAAAACTTACAGTTTAACAACTTCAACAACTTTAACAACTCACAGCTTAACAAAACTTTATGCACCTATATGAACTTTCAGTTTATCAATCTCTTTAAGACAATTCAGCTTTATTAGTATCAACATGTGATCAGATGTCTGTATTTGTTCTGGGAATAAGGGACAAAGGGAAAGACTGTTTTTTTTTTTTTTTTTTTTGAGACAGAGCCTCAAGCTGTCTCCCTGGGTAGAGTGCTGTGGCATCACAGCTCACAGCAACCTCCAACTCCTGGGCTCAAGCGAGTCTTCTGCCTCAGCCTCCCAAGTAGCTGGGACTACAGGTGCACGCCACAATGCCCGGCTATTTTTGGTTGCAGCCATCATTGTTGTTTGGCAGGCTCAGGCTGGATTTGAACCAGCCACCTTAGGTGTATGTGGCTGGTACCTTAGCCACCTGAGCCACAGGTGCTGAGCTGAGAAAGACTGTTAATTCATGAATAATGACTCTGCAGAAAATTAGATGGTGTTTAATTATTTATTTTTTACTTTTTTTTTTTTATACAGACTTTTCTTTTCTTTCTTTCTTTTTTTTTTTTCTGTAGAGACAGAGTCTTACTTTATCATCCTTGGTAGAGTGCCATGGCTTCACACAGCTCATAGCAACCTCCCATCTCCTAGGCTTAGGCAATTCTCTTGCCTCAGCCTCCCAAGTAGTTGGGACTACAGGCACCCACCACAACGCCCCGCTATTTTTTTGTTGCAGTTTGGCCTGGGACAGGTTTGAACCCACCACCCTTGGTATATGGGGCTGGCGCCCTACCCACTGAGCCACAGGCGCCACCCAGATGGTGTTTAATTTTTGAAAACATCCTTCCCTGCTCAGTTGATACCAGCTACTGATGGTTACATATCCTAAGGAAACTCTAAAAGTAGGAAATTCTGGTATCTCTCTCACATTCTGAATTTCTAAATCTCAGGAAGAAAAGCTTAGAGAGCTTCTGAGTGTAGAGAAGTTGCACATAAGGAGTAGATGCCCCTTGTAGGTATATCAAAATATTATAAATTCTAAACTGAGACTTAATCCTCAAATGTGTTTCACTTGTTCTAAAATAATTTTTCCACAAACATAATACTATAAGTAACAGATTGTTATTTTCCCACTGTGGAACCCCAATGTGAAAATGTATTCTATGAAAAGAAATTTTAAAAAATGTTGTATAATAAAAATAAATTCTACTCTTTTATGTGAAAAAAAAAAAAAAAGAAGAAGAACTAAGAGACAGGCCAGGTTTGGTGGCTCACAACTGTAATCCCATCACTCTGGGAGACCAATGTGGGTGGATTCCTTGAGCTCAGGAGTTCCACTTACTCTAAAAAGAGTAAGACCCTGTCTCTACTAAAAATAGAAAAATTAGCTGGGCATCTTGGCAGGAGCCTGTAGTGCCAGCTACTCAGGAAACTAAGGCAAGACAATTACTTGAGCCCAAGAGTTTGAGGTTGCTGTGAGCTAGGATGATGCCATGGCACTCTACCCAGGGATAAAAACAAACAAACGAACAAACTGATAAAAAAAATTCTCAGGCTGATGTTGTTGCCAAAAAAAGAAAAAAGAAAAAGAGAGAGAGAGAGGGAGAGAGAGGAAGAACACAGACAACTCATATTAGCCTAGGCCTCCACAGGGTCAGGATCATCAATATCACTGTCTTCCAACTCCACATCTGGTCCCGCTGGAAGGTCTTCAGAGGCCATAACATGCATGCTGTCACCTCCTATAACAATGCCATCTTCTGGATACCTCCTCAAGGAACTGCCTGACACTATTTTACAGTTAATTACTTTTTATAAGTAGAAAAAATATGCTCTAAATCAGTGGTTCTCAACCTTCCTAATGCCATGACTTATCCAGTGAGTCACGACCTACAGGTTGAGAACTGCTGCTCTAAATGAACAAAAAGTATAGCACAGTGAATACATAAGGCAGTTACAAGTTATCATTACCATGTATCATGCAGGGCACATAATCCTACATGTTATATAGTAGGTTCATTTTCACCAGCATCACCACAAACCTGTAAATAATGCATTAACATGGCTACAATGCCACGAGGTGATAGGAATCTTTCAGTTCTGTTATAATCTTACAGGACCACCATCACATATGTGTATAGTCATTGACCAAAATGTTGTTACAAGGCACATGACTGTATCTTCACCAACAGCAATAACGTTTTTCTTATTTACCTCCAATTTCAGTGACAGAGTCCCTGCAAACATTTGTTATTGTTTCTGAAGTCTCATCTGGAAGGGATTTTACTTGCAGAAATATTAGAAGCAAGCCTTTTCACCAGAAAAATATTTCATAAGCAAAGAGAAATTATCTTTTGCATAATAATAACATAAAAAAGGTTAGAGGCATTTAGGCCTTTGATGACCTCTGTAATAGGAAACAGAGATATTATATTTTTATTACTTTAATAGATTTTGTCCTTAGCCTTGAATGTTTGCTTACAATTCTGGAGTCAGAAAACCCTTCTGGGAGTAGTACATTTGGACAGTCATTTGAGCTGGAAGGAATCCTGCTGATACACAGTGTAGATGGCCATTACAAGTTCTGCTGTCATTATTTTATCTTCTTTATCTGAATTTCCCTTAATCAAAAAATTATTTTATCAGCTGGCTGTGGCAGTGTGAGCCTATAGTCCCAGCTATTCAGGTGGCTGAGGCGGGAGGTTCACTTGAGCCCAGGAGTTGGAGACTGCAGTGTGCCATGGTTGTGCCTGTGAATAGCCACTGCACTCCAGCCTGGGCCACACAGTGAGATCTTATCTCAAAAAAAATTATTTTCTTATTGCTTTCTGGGACAGAGTCTTTGCTCTGTCACCAGAGGTAGAGTACCATGGCATCATAGCTCATAACAACCTCAAACTCTTGGGTTCAAGTGATCCTCTTGCCTCAGGCAGGCTCCAGAGTAGCTTGGGACTACAGGCGCCCACCACAACGACCAGCTAGTTTTTATATTTTTAGTAGAGTTTTGCTCTTGCTCAGGCTGGTCTCGGACTCCTGAGCTCGAGATCCACATGCCTCGGACTCCCAGAGTGCTAGGATTATAGGTGTGAGCCACCATTCCCAGAAAAAAAAATTATTTTTATTTGCTTTGGTACTAGTTGAGATCATACATGTCTTATGCTAAATGGTGAGCGTTCGCTGTTTTATATATAACTTTCTACAGTATCTGAAATTGAGCATGGTGCACAAAGAACTTCTAAAGGACTTTTTCTTCATTTAGTAAGTGTCCACACTTCAGAAAATGCATTATGAAGTTTATAGTTACATTTTGGCATTTGGGGGTTTAAATATACACAAATTAAACCAAAACAGTTAATAGCAAACCACCACATGAATGGAAAAGACTGGATTTGACAACCTCACAACCTTGTATGTCTGTCACCCACAATTCCAAACTCGTAACTAAGCATAAACTGAGGCCCAATGAAAGGACTGTACACTTAAAAAGCAACAATATATTCAACTTGATATCTGCTGGAAAAAAAACAAAGGATAACTTCCCCTTTGCCTGCAAGGTGGTCCTAATAAGGCACAGAGTTCCAGATCAAAGCCTGAGTTGATTATATGGGAGGTTTGGGGAAGCCACCGTTCAGGGCCAGCTGTCAGTCAGTCTTGAGGCCACTGGCTTTCAGCTGTGGTTGATAACTGGGTGAGACTGCTGTTGGTCTGCTAACTTCAAAAAGCACTTGTTGACTGGCTGTTGTCTATAAGTATAGGGCTTCACTGACTGGGTGACCTTCAGAAGTGTTACTGGAGTGAGGCTGTCACTCACTGTGGGCTGGTGTAGGAGAGCATGAGTACTGACACGTTATCTCTCATTAACAGTGACCTCTTTACAATTTGGGACTCAAAGAAGAGTCCTTTCCTTTTTTGAATATGAGAAATAGGCACCTTCAAACTCTCAAAACTCCCCTTGTGGGACCTGCAGGAGGGATCATAGGGAATGATCCAGATCTTTATATGTGGGAGTGTAATCTTCACATACATTTTAAGTATCACTTATTGTGGTGGAAGAATAGCTGAGCATCCATCCTTGTATTTCCTCTATTGAAACTCACTTATTGTTGCCATTTAAGCAGCACTTATTGTGGTGGAACAATAGCTTAATTGGAAAAGTTTTGTAGTAAGAAAATGAGTACACTACATTTGTGAGTGTCTTAACCAAAGCAATATAGGATGCAGGGCAAGATCATTACCTATAGGACATGTTCTGTACAGAGGGGACACCTGGTAGCTTCTGTTTTTGTCTTCTTTGAGCTCAGACCCACCACTTAAGTCTAACTACCCTACTGGAAAGAAAAGTCCAACCAACCTCTTCCCCAGCAAGGCACCTGTGGACATTCCACCCTAATCTATCTCCTAACTGAATGTAGCCACATGAGCCCCACTACCTTATAAAGCAGAACTACCCAGCTGAGCCTAGATCACCCACAGAATCATGAAAAAGAATAAATTGTTGCTTTAAACCATCACATTTCAGGATCTGTTATGCAACAAATTCAAATAACCCTAGATTAGCAATTCCAGTTGTCACCTCAGCCTCTTCCACCTCCGTGTCCTAAGGAGCCCTTCCATCCCTGTGGCCCTCACTCCCATCACAGAACCAGGTCTTTTCTTTAGAAAGTTGTCTCATTTAAATACCATTTCCTGGCTCAGTGCCCATGCTCAGTGGTTAGGGCACCGGCCACATACACCAAGGCAGGCAGGTTTGAACCTGGCCCAGGCCTGCTAAACAATGACAACTGCAACAACAACAACAAAATAGCCGGGTGCTGAGGGGGGTGCCCTGTAATCCCAGCTACTTGGGAGGCTGAGGTGAGAGACTGGCCTAAGCCCAAGAGTTTGAGGTTGCTGTCACAGCTGATAGCATTCTACTGAGGGCGACATACTGAGATTCTATCTCAAAAAAAAAAAAAAAAAAAAAAGACCATGTCCTTTTACTGGGCTGTACACACCACAGGACAAGTACCTGGGGTTATCTTGTCCACCTGGGATGCTCTTTACAATATAGTGGCTATCATGGAGTACCTGTGCACAAGACATATTTGCCAGGAGCTTGTTGAGAGAGAGGAAAGATGAGTGTATGGCGAGGTGGAGGGGAAGGAAGAATGAGCAGTAAGTGGATGAATGAAAGGAGGGATGACAGGAGGGATGCATGGATGACAGGGTGGGTAGGAAAAGAGGTGGGGGGAGAGACAGTGGAAGACTGGATGAATGGGGGTGTGTGTATAAGTATGTGGATAGAACAATGAGGGGTTGGATGGATGGGAGGTTGAAGGGAAGGGTGGGTGGGTGGATACATGGAATAGTGGTGAATAAGTGTGTCTATGAGTTTTAATAGTGGAATGCAAGGATGGATGCTCAGATGAAAGGCTGAAGAGACAGATGAATGGGGGAGAAAGGAGCTAAACTTTTCCAAAAATAACTTTTGAAGACATTGGACTCCTCAAACTCCACAGAAACAATTTATTACCAAAGCACAGGGGTGATAATCATAGGAGGGGACCCCTGGTGGGCCAGTGCAACCCCACATGGGAGTTGGGAGTCCTCTCTGCCCACACCCCAGCAGCTGGCTGGGCTGGGGACAATGGCTGAGAGGCCTGGCCGGTCCGAAGGAGGAACTTCACATTAGCTGCAGGTAACTACCTGTTTTCCCTGACACTAATCAGGACTGATGAATATTGCCTGAACAAGTGGCAGGAAGAATGCACATTCCAGGGATTATTCTAGGAGGTTATCTGTGATTAAACAGCAGGCCTTGAGTCACATTGCTTCATTTTTTTTCTTCTATTTCAAACTGCACATCCAAACATCTAGAAAACAATAAAATGGCTGTTAGTGTCTCATTCATTCAAGAAATCCCTGTACATCATTACTACATGCCAGGCACCAGGACATCACCATGAGCAAGAAGGACAGGAAGTGTCTGACAGGTGCAATGGTCTCAGGGTGGGATGCAGTTTGGCTGGGTCTAGAGCTGAGCAAAGATGGTGTGGCTGGCACAGTGGGGACTGGAGGCAAGGAGGTCAGCTGTGCAGAGCAAGTCAAGGAACTGCCCCAAAGCAGAGGCAAGACAATTTTTAAGTCACTCAAAGATCACTGGGCTTCTTAAATGGCATCTCCTAAGCTCCTAACCAAGGGATAGATCTGCTGCTGAGGGAGTGGTCTCCAGGGAGCAAGCAGACCTGAAATGGTGGTGACCCTGGGAAGGACTGCTAGGTTTGGAGGTTTCAAAGTCCACTGCACTAGGTAGACTGGAAGGCACTTAAGAACGGTGGCACTAACCAGAAGCTGGGGCACCAGGAAAACAGAAATGACAGACAGATACCCTCATGGAGCTCACTGCCCAATGGTGACAATGACAAGTGGTTGTAGTGCCTCATTTGGAATTGGAGCCCTGGAGGAGGCCACTGCGGGAACACCAAGGTATCTGGCTGGGACAACTGGGTAGCCAGAGGAGGAGCCATCTACTGAGCTGGAGCAGTGGGGAGAAGCAAGGTGGGTAGAGAAGGTCATGGTGGGATTCAGGCAGATGCCTACTCCCCTGCTTCAGAAAAATGCCCAAACCCGGCATTTCTGGAGTGCTCGATGTGCAGGCGCTGTGCAAAGAGCTGTGTGTGTGTGTGAGAGACCTCAGATTTTCAGAGCTGGATGTTAGGAAAAGCTGTGACAATGAAGAGGCACTTGTAATCCAAGTGCCTACAGAAGAAGACAGGCCCCACCAAGGAGATGCTGCTCAAGACATACTTGGACCAGGGCTTCCCAACAGTGGCACTGCTATCCTGGGGGTGGGTCTTTGCTGGGGGTCAGAGGTGGGGGAAGTGCTAGGTGTCATTGGATGTTGAGCAGTGCCCATTAGATGCCAGTAAGATGTTCTCCCCAGTAGTGATAACCCAAAGTATCTCTAGATACTGTCAATGTTCCCTATGGGTGGGGAATGAGTCAGACAAAGCACTGGGCTTTTGGCGGCACCTGTAGCTCAGTGGGTAGGGCGCCGGCAGAGGCTGGTGGGTTCAAACCCAGCTTGGGCCAGCTAAACAACAATGACAACTACGACAAAAAAAATAGTCAGGTGTTGTGTTGGGTGCCTGTAGTCCCAGCTACTTGGGAGGCTGAGAATCGCTTAAGACAATCGCTTAAGTCCAAGAGTTTGAGGTTGCTGCGAGCTGTCACGCCACAGCACTCTACCAAGGGTGACATAATGAGATTCTCTCTCTCAAAAAAAAAAAAAAAAAAAAAAAAGACTGGGCTTTGATTCTAGCTAACCACCAGGAGAGAAGTAACAACTCCACAACTCCATGGAGAAAGGAGGGGCTTAGGGAAGCTACTCCTTTAGGACATATCCCTGTACCATTGCCAAAATTAACCATGAAGTTACTTTATTGCCATCCTTCCAAAAATTCCTGCACACTCTTCCACAGTACTCCTGGGAGTACAGATGGTCACAGCCCCGACAGCAGCCAGCTCATTGCTACTGGGGTGATAACCCTACCCAGAGACATGCACACATGAGCCAGGCTGTGCACACACATGCTCCAGGCAGCACTGTCAGTGAAACAGAAACCTGGGAACCCACGGGAGTGCCCAGGTGTGGGCTGTAAGGAGCATCCTCCATCCCCACGATGGAGAACTCGGTACTGCACTGTTACCAGTGAGACCACAGAGGTTCTGTGCCAACAGAGGAGAGCTGTGAGAAATTCTGTGACATGAAAGCAGCGAGGTACAGCACAAGGCACACATTAGTTAACGCTGTGCATGGGTCTTCCAAAGGAGACAGTGACTATAGGTGGATGGATGAAAAGGGAAGAAAGTGAGAGGGAAAACATGCTGATGCTCACTTATCTTGAGTTCCTAAATTCAGTTGTGATTGAAGCTTCCCCCTTAGAATTTTCTGGCTACAACAGCCAAGCTTTCTTAAAGTCAAGCTCAGTTTGGTTTCTGTTATTCACTATTATTGGGGGTTGGAAAGTTCAAGAACCCTGTGGAGAAATCCAGTGTCTACCTGGGAAGCCGGGCTCCGGGTGAACATGGAAGGGGCCCTGGGATATATCTGCTGACACCTTGGGCAGGGGAGGGATAAGGACAACATGTGGGTTGGGGGTTAAGACTCATAAACTCTTCCCACCTGGATTCTACCTATGGCACCATCCTGAGGTCAAGGGGGTCATAGGGTGATACTCGCAGATCCTGCAGTAGGGATGTTAGATTGCTCCTCAGCGTGACATAGGGCGGCTTCTCGTCATACTTGAGGGCCATCACCACCTTGAGGTACTCCTGGAGGGTCCCTGTGGAGCAAGAAGAGGCCTGAGAGGTGCCCCCACACCCGAGCCTGGGGGGCTGTGCCCAGAGGGGGCCAGGCAAGGGCACTAGGGGGCAGGGAGGTCTCATCAACTGTGCCAATTGCTCAGGGCTTCCTCTCTGCCCTGTATTGCCAGAAGACTTCAACTTTTTTTCTAGTATTTGAAAATATCAGACTTGGCGCCTGTGGCTCAAACGCTAAGGCGCCAGCCACATACACCTGAGCTGGCGGGTTCGAATCCAGCTTGGGCTCGCCAAACAACAATGATGGCTGCAATCAAAAAATAGCCAGGCGTTGTGGCGGGCGCCTGTAGTCCCAGCTACTTGGGAGGTGGAGGCAAGAGAATCGCTTGAGCCCAGGAGTTAGAGGTTGCTGTGAGCTGTGATGCCACAGCACTCTACCCAGGTGGACAACTTGAGGCTCTGTCTCAAAAAAAGAAAAGAAAATATCAAACATAGGCACTGGCATAATGGTATGAATACCCAAGGACCCATCACCTCATAGCCAATCTTGTCTCATTGAAACCTCTGCTGCTTCTTCCATCATGCATGGTTTTAAAGCAAATCCCAGCCAGCAATGTCATTTGTCTGTGTGTAAATATTTAGTGTGTGTTTCCAAAATTGGGCCCAGAAAACTTAAGTAGTAAAGTGGCAGATAGTGAATGTTTTCGGCCTGGTGGGCCAGGTGGTCAACTCAGCTGATGTCCCACAAAAGCAGCCACAGACAACAATGAAGTGAATGGACATGGCCGAGTGCCCACAAGCTTTATTCATGCACGCTGCAGCTGGAATTTCAAGTAAGTCCCAGGCTATGAAATGGTATTTTTTTGAAAAATTTTTAGCAGTTTAAAAATGTCAAGCAATTTTTAGTTCTCTAGCACTACTACTAAAACAGGTGGGTTGGCCTGTGGGACAGTTTCCTGACACGTACTTTAATAGGTAAGCAGGTAGAGAGGCTCATGTCCGTAAGCCCAGCACTTAAGGAAGCTGAGGCAGGAGGATTGATTTCATGAATGACTAATGAGCCATAATCACCATTTAAAAAATACTGACATTAGGCTCGGTGCTTGTAGCACAGTGGTTATGGCTCTAGCCACAAACCCTGAGGGTGGTGGGTTTGAACCCAGCCCAGGCCAGCTAAAACAATAACTATAATAAAAAATAGCTAGGTGTTGTGGCGGGTGCCTGTAGTCCCAGCTATTTGGGAGGGTAAGGCAAGAGAATTGCTTAGGCCCAAGAGTTGGAGGTTGCTGTGAGCTGTGATGCCATAGCACTCTACCAAGGGCAACACAGTGAGACTCTTGTCTCAAAAAAAAAAAAAAAATACTGACATTACATGTATTTCATGACAATTTTTATTTATTTTTTATTTTTTCTTAAGTCATATACACATAGATCATGAATACATTTATGCATATGTGGGGTCCAATGTGTTGACTTTTTTATACAATTTGTCATGCTTACACCAAACTAATATAGCTTTCGTCTCATTTACTTGATTATTGTGTTAAGACATTTATGTTCTACACTTGACAGATTTGACTTGTACGCTTGCAATATGCTCCATAGGTATAGTCCCACAGTTTACCTTCCATCAAACCTCCCCCTACCCCTCCCTTCCCACTCCATTTCTCTCCTTCATCCTGAGCTACAGTTGTGTTCTATCTTCCATAAGAAAGCGTGAGTAAATATAAGTTGGTTTCATAGAAGTACTGAGTATACTGGATACTTTTCCCTCCATTCTTGAGATAGTTTACTCAGGCAAATATGTTCCAGGTCCCTCCATGTAAACATAAAAGAGGTAAAGTCTCCATCTTTTTTAAGGCTGCATAGTACTCCATGGTATACATATACCACAATTTATTTATCATGACAATTTTTAGAAAGTGACAACATTCTAAACATACAGACATAGAAAATCTCCATGATTACTATTTTTATTGTTTTTTTAGGTACAAACCAAGATTACTTCTTTTTTCTTTTTTTGCAACTTTTGACTGGGGCTGGGTTTAAACTCACCACCTCCAGTATATGGGGCTGGTGCCCTACTCCTTGAGCCACAGGCACCACCCCAAGATTACTTCTTAAATGAAAAAAGTTGGATTCCAAGATGCATAATATAATTCCATTAAAATACTATGTGTATGTGGGTTTTGTTTGCTATTATTATTATTATTATTGTTTAGAGCAGCAGTTCTCAACCTGTGGGTTGTGACCCACAGTAACTGTATTAAAGGGCCGTGGCAGTAGGAAGGTTGAGAACCACTGGTTTAGAGATGCGTAAGGGTTTTTTTGTTTTAAAGACTTTTGTTTTTATACAATAGGTACTTATTACAAATGCAACTAGGAAAACTGGAAGAAAGAAAATAAAGAGGTGTAAACAGAGGCAACCCCAAGATGGTCCCAAGCTACCTTAACCTGCCCAAACTACTGCTGGTTCCCACTTCCTTCAGGACCTACCTGAAGGTCTAATCCAATGACCACATGGTCCTGCCAGGGTCTCTGGGTTGTCAAGTAACCTGAAGGGATGAAGCAAATGTAAAAGGTCTTTTAGGGAAAGGAGAATAAAAGGGAACATCTAATATCAACACATCGGGGTAGTGCCTGTGGCTCAGTGGGTATGGTGCCAGCCCCATATACTAAGGGTGGCAGGTTTGAACCCAGCCCCGGCCAAACTGCAACGAAAAATAGCCAGGCGTTGTGGTGGGTGCCTGTAGTCCTAGCTACTCAGGAGGCTGAGGCAAGAGAATTGCCTAAGCCCAGGAGTTGGAGGTTGCTGTGAACTGTGACGCCACAGCACTCTACCCAGGGCAATAAAGTGAGACTGTCTCTGAAAAAAAAAAACAACAAACCAAATAAAACATCAATTCTTATTATTCAGTCATCATGCTCTACAGAGTCTCTGTGAATGCTGGACTAGCCAATTCAGAACCAACACACCTAGGGAAAATGGAGTATTAGGTTCCTGCGAGCCCCTGGTCAGACACTTTCATCTGCTGACTGATAAATGACTTTGTCTTAGGTGTGTTTTTGGTGAAAGACATCTTATTTAATAGATATTGTTAATTCATTAGCATTAAACTCTGTTTTAATTTAGGATCTTTAAGATGGAAAGCACCCCCTCAATGATTAGGAGAGATGCAAGCTGGAAATAAAGAAGTTATTACTTACAGGTCTGGGGAGTACACAGCATGGCCAGAAGCCACACACATACATACACAGAGGTCAGAGAGTGTGTTTGGTCAACACCTTTACTGGGGTCCAAGGTATTGTCCAAGTAGGTTTACTGTTGGGAGTTTTACTTGGTGGGTTTAAGCAAGCTAGGCCTCCAGGCTTGAGTTCTAAGAGGTTACACTGTGCCGAGAGATGGTCATTGAGGCAGGCCTCTCTACACAGTCCACGTGGGATATGGGTGCCAGTAGGGCTGTCAAGGTGGCTGAATCTAGGTGTCCCATAGAGAAGTGGTCATCAGGAGGCAACAGTATAAGGCATATATCTGGATCATTCATGTTGAGGCACTGGGAGGAGGTGTGGAACTTGAAACTGTGTCAATGATGACTAAACCCTTCTGATGTGAGAAAGTCCTACTTACATTCAAACAGATATTGAAGCAGTATAAAATTTTAAGAATTCATGGCCACTAGCACTACAACTCATGGCTGAACAGAGCTGATTTAACATGCATATTATCAGTCTCCCGTGCTCTGAAACCTCAGAAAGCACCTTACACTATGCTTGCACTAGTCATTTTATTTTTTTTGAGACAAGAGTCTCGCTTTGTTGCCCTTGGTAGAGTGCCGTTGCATCACAGCTCACAGCACTCTAACTCTTGGGCTTAACCAGTTGTCTTGCCTCAGCCTCCCAAGTAGCTGGGACTATAGGTGCCTGCCACAATGCCTGGCTATTTTTAGTTACAAGGTCATGCTCTGGCTCAGGCTGGTCTCAAACTCATGAGCTCAGGCAATCCACCTGCCTGGGCCTCCCAGAGGATTACTGGGTAAGCCACCATGCCCAGCCCCTGGGCAGCCATTTTAAACAGCAATAACACTGACAAAAAGCATAAAAATCAGAAAAGGATAGCATTAAATGGATAGTAAATGAGACTGTTTACTATACAACAGCTAAAACAAGGAGGCAGAACGCTGTCTGGTGCCACCTTTAGCTGGGAACTTGTCTCTTACTGTATATGCCTGCAAATGATAACAAAAGCACAGCCAGACTTGATTTTGGGATTGGAAATACTTTTAGGGAGGAGAATTCACAAATATGGAATCTGTGAATAATGAGGATCAACTGTATACCCGACACACATATATATAAGCACATATAACACACACACACACGTCCCGTCCCTCTTGGACCACTCAGAAGAAATGGGACTTTGCCCGCTGCCTTTGCTGCTTCCTAAGCCCCAGTCATACCATTTCTTCTCTGGTCTGGCCCACCAGGCTGGCTCCCACTACCCTCCCAGTCACTAGACACTGTCCTTGCCTTTGCTGTCTCCCAGCCCTATCCTCCTGCTTCCCAAGTCTCTATGCCCCATCTTCCCCCATCCTATGGTACAGCCCAGGCCTCAATTTTCTCCCTGGACCCCACCCTCCTGTGCATATCCTGCATGGCTCCAGAGCTGATCCTGTTCCTCCCAGTTCCCAGGGCCTTGAGGGTAAAGGCTAGCACACATAGTGCCCAGCCACCCTCTGGCTTTGTCTTTCCCACTCCCTCCTCCCATCTGTGCTCCCTATTCCTAGTCCCAGCAAGCCACATGTCTACTTGTGTCCTCCTGCCTCTGCATATCCTGCTCCCCCTGGCTGGGATGGCCTTCCATACCCTGACCACTATCCCCTGGCAGGTGGCTGTGCTCTGTTCAAGATACAGCTTGAGGGCTTGGTCTCCTAGGAGTCTTCTCCAACCCCTCCAGGAAGAGGAAATCCATTGCTCCTGGGTGCCTGTGTACCTGCACAAAGGTCTGATGATACCTATGGCAACACTCAGCCCATGTATACAGGAATGAACAGGTCAGAACTTCTCCTCCCAGTAGCTGCAGGCTGTGTGTGACAAGTAAATGAGTGAGCAAGTGACAGTACACCCACTCACTGGGACACCAACAAGAAGTTGCATGACCAATTCTGTGGCTGTAGCTGTTGGTAGGATCTCCTTAACCAATCAGGCTGCTGGAGAGCAGGGACCAGATCTCCTAGATCTGTGATGTACCCAGCAAGGGCCCTTGTGTGCCAGAAAGCCTTGGGGAAGCAAACTACTTCACCTTTCTCTTTTATTCATTACTTCCTTCATGAATAAGAATGTACAAAAAATGAATAAATACCTGTTGACTGAATGGAAAAAGGCCACGTGCACCAGTAAAACACCCTAGTGGGGATGTATTATGTTGCCAGGAAAAGTGCATGTAGCTATATCACCCCCTCATAGGCCTTTTGGTTACTGCCTCCAGTCGCCAACAGAGGCTGGGCTGGGGGTGGGGCAGGGCATCTTGGGCACAGTATCACCACTACCAACTGTCTGTGGAGCGTTTCCATGCGCCCAGCCCTATAGTGTGGTCAGGAGCTGGGGCTCTGCAATTACTGTTATCCACACTGATATCAATGGCATTAAAATTATCGCCATGACTTAATTTATCCTGTACCACAATGGCAGTGCTCTTTGTGGAGCATGTCACATTCAACCAATCTTTTTAAGTGGGAGATATGTGAAAAGGGAGATATGACTGTCCTACCAAGATGTGAGTTCCCCGAGGACAGGAATTTTGGCCTTTTCTACTACTGTTTCCCCAGTGCCTAGAGCAGAGCTTAGCATATAGTAGGTGCTCAGTAAGTGTCCAGTGAGTGAAGGCAGGCTATGTCCAGGTACCACCAATCCACCTTATGACAAGGCTCCCATGCTGGGAAATGGTATCAGAGTGAGATGGGCTGTCTTTTGAGGTGAGTGGCCCGAGTTTGAGCCTAAGCAACCTACTTAATAGATGTGTGACCTGGGTCGATGACCTAAGCCCTCTGTGCCTCAGATCACAAGAGCACTCAGCTCAGGCATTCTGAGCATGACATGGGGGAAGTACTGGGTGCAGTGCGCAATGCAGGCAAGGTCACTATAAGCAGGCCAACGTGGTGGGGACACATCCCTTCTTCTGAGCACATACAAGCAGGGGATCTGCTGTGGGAGGGTGAGGGAAGGGCTCCCTGAGGGAATGACAGTTAACTTGCAACCCAAAGGAGGATGAAATCCCAGGCACGGGACCCTTTGAGCCAATCAAACACATACCCAACATCATCACATAGATAACATCATAGGACACAGACACATCTAAACCAATTTAGGAGTACTCAGAACAAGTGAACAGCAATGCAGCTAAAATTTAAAAACACAGCACTGAGTGAAAGAAAGCAAGAGACAGCATGGGATTTAGGCCATAGTGCCCTTTATGCAAATTAAACACCCAGCACCACAGATATTTTTCAAAGACATCCACATTTACACAAGACTGATGTCGAAGTCGGAGTCAGAAACAGCAAACTCAGTGCAGTGTGAAGATGTGGTTAAAGCTGAAAAGAGCCATAACAGATATGATTCAGAGCAGAACATCATTTATGCAAATCACGTCTAGTAACACCATACAATTTTAAGGATACAAATATATCTAAGTGAACATATCAGCAGAAGGCACATTAAGTGTGTCTGAGTGGCTGTCCATGATTAAGAGAAGGGGTGGGAGATATAAAGTGGGTAGAATAAAATGAGTGGTTCAATATGAACAGTGACATGGCATTAACAGTGACACAACATGCTAAATACTGGGAAATATAACTCAATATTGTTCACTGGGAAGTTCACCTTCTTCCCATTCCATACATTTTTCTGGATAATCTCATCCTTTCCTGGGGCTTCAGTTGGCAACTCCTAAGATATCCTGAGGTATAGCATCCACTTGGACTTCAATCCTCCAGTTTAGAAATGGACAACTGTCTCGCGGGTAGCCCCTCCTGGAGGACTCTTAGGCAGATCTTCCAAGTCCACATTAGATGCTGAATCCCAACCTCTAGACCTGTAGGGCTTCCCTGTGTCCAGCTGCCTGCTGTCCCTGGTGCTGACCATACCCTATTTACTTCCCTTTGTATCCAGCTACCTGCTGTCCTTGGTGCTGAATCCGACACCCTAGCACTCCCTGTTCAGTTGTCTGCTGTCCTTGGTGCTGAATGGTTAAAACACAACAGTCAGGTACTGTGGTTTCGCAGGCAGAGGTAAAAGCACTGACTGATCCTGTGGCCTGGACATGGGTTGGCATGTGGTGCCAGGTGCTGAGGCAGGGCTTAGGCCTAACCTACTCAGGTGGTCTCCATGTTAGTAAATACATGCATCATGACATCTGGCACATGATGAGTATTTTCTATGGCCCTGTGCTGGGTATTTGACTCCCGCAAAGCCTCCCAGATCTCTTGGGAGGTGGGTGCTAATGGGATACCATCTCATGGAGGAGGAACTAGTGGAGGTTAAGCTCCTCACCCCACACCCACAGTGGTGGGACCAGAATCCAGCCCCAAGCAGCAGGGGCCCACAGCCCATGATCTTGCCTGCTGGAAAGACCATGGAGTATATGCCTGAGAATCTCCAGGCCCCCAACTCTATTGGATGCTTCCCTTGCTTCCTTCTTGTTCCCTATTGGGCCCTGGGGCAGTGCTGGGTTCTGCTGACCCCCAGACTCACTTCTGCTTCTGCTTCATGATATCCTCAGTGTTGGGAAGGCAGTTTGTCCATGGCAGAAACCCGTAGAGCCACTTCAGCATACAGTATCCCAGGGTCTGGAGGTCACTGCGGCGGGAGGGCCCTGGGGGTGTGGCAGGAAGAGGCGGCAGCTCAGTCTAGATGCTGCACTCACTGACAGGCCCATCCCTTTCCTTTTTTTCTTTTACTGACTTAACCATGCGCTCATGCACTCAGCCATCCAGCCACATGGGCTGCCTCATCTGTTCATTCCCCTTTCATTCGCCTACTCTCACTCTTGCTTACTCTCACTTCCTCAACCATGCCCTTACCTGCTCTTTCACCAGCTCACTCCTGCACCCACTCAACCTTCATTCATGTACTTATTCAATGAATTCTCAGCACCTGTGTGCCAGACTCTATCTCAGATTTTGAAAACCCAGACAAGAGTTTGGTTGGGTCCCAGACCTTGACTCTCTTGGGGTAGGGAGGAAGATGATTATAGTGCAGGATTATCTGAGCTGCAAAGGAGACAGATGGGATACAGGGAGCCTAGAAAGATGGGTACTGAACCCAGCCTCAGTGGGGCAGGGTGAAGGAGACTGGGAGGCTTTATTTACCTCACATCTCCTAATCACAGGATTTAGACAACTCTTCAAAAGCATTCAGCAAATCCTGGAGTGTTGACTGTGCTGACCTTCTGCTACTTGAAGGCAGAGGTGCCATTCTGGCCTGTGGGAACTCCGCCTGGTAGGCGGATATGGGCAGGTACATGGATGGTCATAATATAAAGGGGTTTGAGAAGAGGGGCTTAAGAGATCTGTCCTGGGACCTCTCCCCACTTTGCATACATTTCATAGATAATCTCATCTTTTCCCAGGGCTCCAGAAGTATCCAGAGATACTGCCACACACCCAGTGTCCATGGCATCATGCTCCAGATGACAAGACAATCTCTCCTCATCAGTCCCTCCTGGATTACTCTTAGGCAACCTTTATCTTTCAACTTTACACCAGATCCTGAATCCCAGCCTCTGGAATCCAGGGCTCTCAGTGCTCCGCTTCCCTGCTGTCTTTGGTGCCGAACTGTTGCCCCATTGCTCCCTCAGTGGACAGGATGCTGCTTGTGTTCCTGATTCCTTATCACCTTTAGCACCTCTCCTCCCTGGCTGCCTGCTGTTTGTGCCTGTGAACCCCTAGAGCTGCCCTTGCATGAGAAGCATGTCTGTCTGTGTGGCACTGAATCCCCTCTATGGTCTCATACCGCATCCCTTGTGCAGGTCCATGCTAATGAACTCAAGATCCCCCTCATGTGGGCTCCTGCTGCCCTCCATGTAGGCCACGTGTCTGCCACTTGGGCAATAGCGGAAGGTGAAGCCATAGCCTGCCAGGGTCACCTGTGGACAGGGGAAAAAGCCACAGAGATTGCAGGTTACAGGTGGAGTCAGAGATTTCAATTGTGGGTGCAATTTGAAACAACCCATCCATTATAGATGATATTTTTAACTTATGCTCATAGTAAAAATGTCAAACACTATAGAAAGGTATGAAAAGAACCCAAACAAACCATCCATATTTCTTCTGAATATCCCCAACCCAGAGGTAACCACGAGTAACAGTTTCTTACACATCATCCCACATTGTTTTCTTTAAATAATCAAACATGATGGGGAAGGACAGAGACGTCACACTGAACCTCCTGTGGGCATTTGTCTTTTTGCACTTTTAATAGGGATTCAGGGCATTAACTCTAGAGCATGCAAGTTGGTGGCCATACTAGCTGGGGCAAGCCATGAAAGTTATCTGTACTTTGATTTCTCTGTTTGTAAAATGACTAATATTTCTCACCTCAAAGAGTTCTCATGAAGCTTAACTGAGTGCTTTTGTTTGGACAGCTGAATCTTTTAAACCTCATGTTGAAATCTGATTCCCATGGCTGAAGGTGCTTTTGTAATGGGGGGAATCCCTCATGAATAGATGAATCCCCTCTTTTGGCATGAGTTTTCACTCTATGACAACAGTTGCCAGGAGAGCTGTTAACAATAATCTCCCACCACCCTACTCTCTCTTGCTTCCTCTCATTATGTGACTTCTGCACATGTCAGCTCCCCTTCACCCTCCGGTGAGTGGAAAAAGGCTGAGGCTCTCATCAGATGGCCAGTCTTGAACTTTCTAGTCATCAGAATCAGGAGTCAAGTATTTTTTTTCTTTATAAATTACCTCAGGTGTTCACTATAGCAACACAAAACAGACTGAAACACTGAGGTAAACAAGTAAAGTTGCTTGTGTGCCAAATACACAAAGTCAACCACATCTTTATAATGGCTGCATCTTATCCTACCATGTGGCTCGTGGACAACTCTTGGTTTTGTCTACGTAAGACCTGTATCTCCTTTTCTTGTAATAGTTCGTAATGGTTGATTTTATGTGGCAACTTGAATAGGCCATGTAGGTGCCCAGACATTCAGTCACCTCCTTTTTTGGTGTATCTTTAAGGGGGTTCTGGATGAGAGTAACCACTGAACTGGGAGACTGAGTAAGGCAAACTGCTTTTCTTTATGCTGGTGGGCCTCACCCAGGCAAATGAAGATGTGAGTAGGAGGAAAAATTGAGTAAGAGGGAACTCATCCTGCTGACTGCTTGAGCTGGGACATTGGTCTTTTTCTGCCTTTGGACTTGAATTGAAACATCAGCTTTTCTTGGGTCTCAAACCTGCTGTCCTTTGGACAGGAACTCAAGATCCGCTATCTCGGTCTCCAGTTTGCAAACTGAAGATTTTACGATGCTCAGCCTCTGTAATTTATTAGCCAATTCCCTATAATAAATCTCTGTGCACGCGCGCGCACACACACACACACACACACACACACACCGTTGGTTTTGTTTCACTGAAGAACTCCAACTAATACACAGTTCTAGAATTTTCCTCCGAGATTGTCTCTCTCTAGCTGAAAGTCCATATAGTTCAGCAGGGTTCATCTGATATGTTTCTGTTGGCACTGAGCTTTGGTGATTTAAGCTTCATTTTTTGGTGGCAATTTTGTCACCATGATGGAAGAGTCTGCCTGATGATGAGTAATGCAGAAGCAAGAGCCCAGAGAGGGAAGAGCCAGTGTCCCAGTAACAGGGTTGAGTTTCTTTCTTTTTTTTTTTTTTTTTTTTTTGACAGTTTCAAGCTGTTGCCCTGAGTAGAATGCTGTGATGTCAAAGCTCACAGCAACCTCAAACTCTTGGGCTTAAAGCTATTCTCTTGCCTCAGCCTTCCAAGTAGCTGGGACTACAGGCACCTGCCACAATGCCCAGCTATTTGTTGCTGTTGTTGCAGTTGTCATTGTTGTTTTTGCTGGCCTAGGCCAGGTTTGAACGTGCCAGCCTCAGTGTATGTGGCTGGCACCCTACCCACTGAGCTACGGGAGCCACACCAGGGCTGAGTATCTGAGCCAGCTGGGCCTGAAGACAGTAAAGTCTTGGATTTCTCTATTCTGTGAACTTATAAATTGCACACACTTCCTTTTGTATTTTTGCTTAAGCCACACTGAGTTTGGTTTCTGTCATTTGCAATTGAAAGAATTAAAAGTTACTCTGTAATTAAAATACTCTTTAATGAGTATCCTACTGGAACTGTATGTTTAAGTTGCTTCCCGTTTTACTATTATAATCAACGTTTTCAGGAGTATCTTGGACATATACCTTTGCGTAAGTCCACAAATATATGGACAGTTACTCTCAAAGAGGAACTGATAGATCAAAAAATAGATGCAAGGTGGCACCTGTGGCTCAGTGAGTAGGGTGTCGGTCCCATATACCAACAGTGGCGGGTTCAAACCCGGCCCTGGCCAAACTGCAATAAAAAATAGCTGAGTGTTTTGGCGGGCACTTGTGGTCCCAGCTACTCGGGAGGCTGAGGCAAGAGAACTGCCTAAACCCAAGAGCTGGAGG